TTTCAAAAGCACACGACCCTTCAGGATTCTCATATAAGTAAACATCAAACGCATAAAATCCTTCATTTGCAATTCATACGTGTGGTATTCTAAATTATATCTTTGTATTTTTTTTAATTAATTATATTTTGTGGATTCTACTTACTTTTTTTTTTATATTATACTAAGCCAGCGCTTATCTACAGTTCCACCTGATGGTAAGTGGTGTTGTAGCCTAAGATGGTGCAGCGCACTGACTTAAAAACCCGAGCCTATTCACTCTTGCCTTGAAGACACTCATACTGTAATCGGATGGAAAGACAGATGCTGGCAACTTATTCCACTCCTTTGCTGTACGCATGATGAACGATGTAGCGAACCGTTTGGTTCGAATGCGTGGTAAGTCAACAACGAAAGGTTGGACACTGGCCGAACGTCTGGTTGTTCAGTAGTAAAAGGAAGAGAGAGGAATTAAATTATGCAATTCCTGCGCACACTCTCCGAAAATCGAAAGGCTGACTACTTTGCATCTGTGTTCGAGGCTGGTTTTGGATTGGTTTTCACCAAATTTGAGTCACCAATAAGCCTCTTAGCACGGCTTTCTAGTCTAAAGCTGCTAGGTGGCATTTTGCAGCACCAGTTCATATATGGCAGCAATACTCCATGCACGACCGGACTTGCGCTTTATATAAAGTAAGCAGCTGTCCCGGCGTGTGAAGTATTGCCACACTTTTGCAGGGATTCCCAGATACTTTGCAGCTGCTTTGGCCTTGGACTCAATGAACCGCACGAAGTTCAGATTTGAGGATATCTCAAACCTCTAACGGCTGAAAGCGGTCGGTATATTCCAGTGATACATTTCGGAAAGAAGGAGCCAAGGTGAGCTGGCTCTTTTTTGCAGTGAAAAGACACGATTGTGTTTTTGGAGGCGTTATATCTCACGAGATTGGCATCACCCCATTCGGAGACTGTCTGTGGTGTGAGATTCACACGCTCTACCATAGCTTCTTTTTCGGACTGTATTTGATCCCGGCTGTGACCACAACTGTGCTATCGTCTGCATACCCATAGATACCGGGCATAAACAGATCATTAATATACAGCAGGAAGAGAGTTGCGGAGAGACCGGACCCCTGTGGAACACCGGCGTTAGTCGCTATAGGATCGGATGAGCAGCCATCTACGACGACCCGGAGATACCGTTCACTCAGAAAGTCCTTTACCCCTTCAATCAGACCAGGGCTAAGCCCTACGCTGGAAGCTTAGCCAAAAGGCTACTGTGCTAAACTCTGTCAAAAGCCTTTGAGACATCAAAGGAAACAGCAAGTGCTTCCCCACTGTTCTCGAGTGCCTCGCCCCATACGTGTGTGGTATACGCTAGAAGGTCCCCAGCTGACCGATTTCAGCGAAACCCATATTGCCGGTTACTAAGAAGGTAATTCTGTTCTCGGTGTGCCATTAAGCGGGTGTTCAATATACGCTCCATAATCTTGGAGAGTATGGAGGTAATTGAGATTGACCGATAATTGGCAGGGTCGGCACGGCTGGCTTTTTTTTTGCAACAGGCTGCACGTTGGCCAGCTCACAGAATTTTGGCATTATTCCTGTCCTAAATGAGAGGTGGAACAAGCGTGTCAGTACAGTAGACAACTCAGGTGCACAAGCCTTTAGAATTATAGCCGGTATACCATCTGGTCCACTAGCTTAATTCACGCCTAGACATCGCAATGTTTTAAGATCCTCCTTATTTGTTATACCAACCTTCGACATAGAGGTCCTGCAGTGAGGAAGTATAGGTGGAACGTTTTTGCCACTGTCCAGACGTGAATTTTAGGCAAAGAGAGACACGAACAAGTCCGCTTTCTCTTTAGCCGTATGCGCCAGTGTGCCATCCCGTTTTACTAGCTATACTATTACTACTATACTACTATACTTACTAAGCTAATTTAGTTTGTCATTCTGACCTTCTTCTCCAGGCGACCACAATGTTTACGAACCATTAACGCAGAGTTAGTTGGTTGAAGTGTAGTGAACAAGGTCAAATTCGTGATCGAGGAATTTAATATGGCTTTTTAATGCATATGATTTAATTTATATATTTACGATATCAGCCTCTCAAAACGTTTGAATTCCCATTATCTGGGTTATTGTATTTCCCTATCACAAATATAATTCATGATTTAGTCAAATACCATAAGTTGTATCCTTCACCTAAAAGCGCTTCTTTATATACAACATAAAATTCAATTATTTTGTGCCACTTCCGAGTGTCTTAGGGATTTTTTGGCGGTGAACAGAGAAAGTAATTTTTTCTTTATTTATCAATTCCTGGATGGATGCAGGTGGCTCAGGACCGTGCTTTGTGGCATTCTTTGGGGGAGGCCTATGTTCAGCAGTGGACTTGTGAAGGGCTGTAATGATGATGAATGATGATGATATCAATTCCTGTCAGGGGCTAAGTGCGCCGTCAAACGCAATCGACCAGAGTGCGATCCCCGCCGGCAGCAATGAAATTGTTTATTGCAATTTTAAGTGCTGATTTACCACGCGCTGAAGAAAAGCACAGTGAGGAGGAAACCACCACGTCAGAGAAGTAAAAAAAAATTGACATGTGAAGCCCGCTAACACGCTTTTTTCTTTCTTTTATCAATCAATTTCTAACAGAATAACGAGATACTGCTTAAAATTGTAGAAACAATTGGGTGCTTACATTATTAACAATTTCAAGCAGACGCTATAAATATAACTTCATTTATTTAAAAAAGCTGAGTACCACAGTCAAATGTCAGAAACTTTCATCCAGTCGATACAAGTCACTAACACATGTAACCAAAAGCAAATTGAATGTTTACAAAGTGATAACGAGTAACGTGCATTCGGCTAAGCTACGGTTTATACGCATGCCTGCATAATGTTGCTCATTATGTGCCTAAACAAACATACATAATCACGTGTTTGTACTGCAACTACTTTTCTATAACTTCGGAGATTAAATTTTTTTTTCTAAAGTATGGTTTAAAAATCGAAGTTATGAGTGCTTTGCGGCATCTTCGAGGTGTTCGACGTCCAAGTCATTAAAACGGGCGTCTGGAATATGAAATATGGTAAAATCAGTAAATCCGAATTTTAAAAAGGTTTCTATTTAAGTTAAATTAAAACTGGTTAATTATCATAATATTCATTTTCCACTATTTAAGTGACATTTTAGTATCATTCTTAACTTGTATCTGTCGTGGGAGCTTGCAATATAGAGTTAGTATGTTTGTTATGATTATGCTGTTGATTTAGAATATAATATAATAGAATGTTAATTATTTTATTTATTTATTTATTTAGAATGGAATAATTTTTATTCAATATTGATTACAAGTAATTCTTATTGAAAGTCATTTGTTTACTTTAGCACTGGTTTGGAAAAAACCCTCTGTCCTGGGAAGAACCAGCAAGAAACCCAGCGGGACTTTTTTAAAATAAATTTTACAATATAAATCGTTACAAACTATTTCCAAAATTTATTTTAGAAACAGCTGGGAAGCGACCAACCCATTCCCAGGGGTTATTATCAACGAAGTATTCCTTTATATTACAATAGCCCTTTTTATATACAGTTTTTGTTTAATTAAATATTTAACCATGGTTCTGGGACTTTGTTGTAATAGCGTATACATTGCCCCAAGAATGAATTACTGACTCTGTGGAGTCCAGAAGCTGGTATCACTAGCTTGTGTTTGTTCCTAGTGTTTACAGAGTGTATATTACTTTTTTTTTTACTAAAACTACCTTTCTTTTGTAAACATATAGTAAATTTTCGTAAATATACTGAGAGGTCAAAGTTAATATATTGATTTCATTAAATGTTTAAATACTCTCTCGGTTGTTAAAAGACTCTCTCGGTTTTAGGTCGTAAATAGCTCTAAAGGCCCTCTTCTGTAAAACAAAATTAGTTTCTAAATCAGCCGCAATTCTCCATAACAACATCCCATAAGACATTACGCAATGGAAATAACTAAAATAAACTAATCTAGCTGTCTCAACACTAGTGAGATCTCTAATCGTTTTTACAGCATAAGTTGCAGAGCTTAGTCTGCTTGCTAGTTTGGATATATGGGGGCCCCACTGAAGCTTTGCGTCGAGAGTGATGCCAAGAAAAACAGGATTCAACAGGGCTCAGTTCTTCCCCATTTAAAAACACATTGGTATTCTGATTTTTAACATTCGTTGTTGTAAATTTAATACATTTAGTTTTATTGCTGTTTAAATGTAGATTATTAACATTAAACCAATGCACTAATATTGATATAGCATTATTGACTTCATCACATTTAAATGATTGACGTTTAAGTTTAAAAAATCAAGAAAGTTTCATCAGTAAATAATACTATATCATGATTATCCCTTACAAGGAAAGGTAAGTCATTAATATACACTAAAAATAGGAGTGGCCCAAGAATCGAGCCTTGAGGGACACCCATTTTTACGGACGACCCGGAAGAATTTTTACTATCGATAATAACTTTCTGCATTCTATTACTTAAATATGAAATAATAAGTTTAAGCACTGTGTTCATGACACCATAGTACTATAGCTTCCTGATTAATGGCTCATGGTGAACACAGTCGAAGGTGAAAGGTATTTCAGAAATCAATGTTCCAAACACTACAATTTTAGTCCTCTTTATTATGGGGTGTGTGTTGCCGTCGGCCCTGAGGTCTGTACACTATCACTTGTACAGGTAAAAAATGCAAGAATGATGCAGACGATTTGGCGCTACTGAGAATTCTTCTGTACATAAAACACCGTAATAAGAACCAAGACTTTACTTGTAATAATTTGTGTAATATAAAATGGTTTTGGCTAAACCTTTCATTGACACTAAGTGTACATATCGGTCTAACAGTCGGTACTCGATGCGACCTAATGACCTCTCTGTTTAGACCTATATCAGGAACAATGCGCAAACGGTGATCTTTGAATGTTGTCACTATGTCAGTGAAAAGGAATGTTAGTGTGGTAGACTGACCGGGAATGCGCCGCCGAGGTACACGTGGTGCGTGTGCGTGGCCAGCATGGCGGGCAGGCGCTCCAGCCGCCGCTCCGTGCCCGGCGTCAGCACGTCCTCCGCCCCGCCGCCACTACCGCCCGTCGCGCCGCCCGTCGCACCGCCCGACCCCTCCGATGCCCGGCTGCCGCCGTTCTGCAAAATTATCATCATAACCCTGCGCCCCGAATTGATTTCCGTCGGTGGTCGACTTTGAAAGTAACGTTTTTGATGTGAATACGTATTTAAGTTTGCTTCCATAGTGTGGATCCTCCATAGAACAAAATCGAGGGATACAGTTTTGTGTTGAAACTTCATAGGATCAAAGAATTTGTTATGTGAAGTGAGCTGTGAGCAATTTCATTTTTTTGGGTTAAGTACGTAGTTTCCTAGATGAGTATTAAGTCTGCAATCAGTAAGGATGTGCAGAGGTGTTAACGTGACGTTTACGTTCTTTATTATAAAGATACACGACAACACTAGACTTTCGATTATATAGACTGAGTGTCATAACACTAGTGTTGAATAGGACATACAAAAGGCCATTTGCAGCGTACATTACGAAACAATGTAAGACGGCTCAACATATTGACTCGTACTTCAAATTGTATGTCGCGTTACTCTTTACTTGTCACATGTGAACTATAGTGGGAGAGTAAGAGAGAACGAAGCACATGCTCCAATAGTTTCGCCTTTATATTCATTTCATTTTTTTTTCATTTACAGCCTTTCATAAGTCCACTGCTGAACATAGGCCTCCCCCAAGGAATGCCACAAAGCACGGTACTGAGCCACCTGCATCCATCGACTTCCTGCATGTCTTACCAGGTCGTCACTACATCTCGTGGGGGGTCGCCCTACACTTCGCCTACCGGTACGAGGCTGCCACTCGAGAACCTTTCTTCCCCATCGGTTGTCGGTTCTTCGACCTATATGGCCGGCCCATTGCCAGCTTACTAATTCGTTGGGCTATGTCGGATACTCTGGTTCTACTGCGGATATACTCATTTCGAAGTTTATCACACAGAGAAACCCCGAGCATAGCCCTCTCCATGGCTCGCTGAGCGACCTTGAGCTTCCTCATACGGCCAGCAGTGAAGGACCACGTCTCAGATCCGTAAGTTATCACTGGCAACACGCACTGGTTGTACAATTTCGTTTTAAGGTTTTGAGGTATGCCTGACAAAAAGATTTGTCGTAGTTTCCCGAATGCTGTCCAGCCGAGTTGAACTCGTCGATTGACCTCTCGGTCGAAGTTGGACTTACCTAGTCGGACTATTTGTCCTAGGTAAACATACTCATCATACAGACATAGGTCCTCCAGCGATTCTGCCATAAGGACTATATCGTCGGTAAATCGAAGGTGAGTGACATACTCGCCATTGATGTTAATACCGTATCCTTTCCAGTCCAGAAGCTTGAAAACGTCTTCCAATGCAGCGGTGAAGAGTTTCGGGGATATAACGTCACCCTGTCTTACACCTCTCTGCAATTGGATAGGTTTCGTAATCTGGTTCTGTACTCGGATAGCCATCGTAGCTCTACTGTACAAACACTTCAGCACTTCGATATACCAACAGTCAACTTGGCACCGCCGAAGGGACTGCAGCACCGCCCAAATTTCGACGGAATCAAAGGCTTTCTAATAGTCCACATACGCCAGACATAGTGGCAAATTGTACTCTTCGGACTTCTGTACAATTTGCCGAAGGGTATGTATGTAGTCTATGGTGCTAAAGCCCTATCGGAAACCGGCTTGTTCTGGAGGCTGGAAGTCGTCAAGTCTGCGCGCGCGACAATTACATGACCTAAATAGATTTATTTATGTTGTATTTCATATTTACTTAAATAATGTTTTTAAAAGCAAATCGCCTTTACCAAAATATTACAATGGAAGTAATAAGTAAAAACATCGATAAAATCATAATTCGCCAATTGTCAATCGCTTCTTATTACTCTGCGACAAGTCTTACGTCAATCACACATTGTAAGGCAATAAAAAATATAGCAACACTACATCAGTACTTGGCACTTCAAAACCACTCGCCTTACTTGAAGTGGAACATTGTACGTGCTCAGTACAAAAAAGACGCTACTCTTACAAACTCATTAACCCCCGACGGGAACAGAGGGGTGTTATATTGTTTGTAGTGTGCATCTGTGTGTCTGCCTGTGGCATCGTAACTGCCAAACACATGAAACGATTTTGATTCACGTTTTTTTTTTGTTTGAATGTTGAATTGATAGAGAGTGTTGTTAGCATGATTCAAAAAAATCTTTTCAGCCATTTGAAGATCATGAGCTCTTTCTGTTTCGGGGTGTTTAAAATTTTTAATTTAAGAATTTTTTAAATCGTGTCCTGCTCAACACTACATGACAATTAATGTGATATAATTTTGTTGTCGATTAGTTTCACTGACAAAAGAAGTGATATCTATGTCGAGTGTTAGTATCGTCGTGTATCCTAGGCATTTTTGATAAGAGTCGGTGATTAATTTAAGTAGACTCAACGCCCTCATATTTGTTGTCCGCGTTATCGCGTCTTAAATTCTTTATTAAATTGTAGATCTATCGGTATCCACACTTGCTCCTATATTTATTGCGTTTACGCAATTTCAATAAACTACAGTCTTGGAAACTCGCAATGTTTGAGCTACTTAATTTTATTTTAAGATTAACCATTTTCAATTGAAGTTACAATTATAAAGTGTTTCCTTTTTTCTATGTACGTTACGCGATATCTTCGTTAATAATGAACTGATTCAAGATATATAAGCCTTGGCAAAGACTTCAAAAACTATTACGTAGAAATAATTTTATTATTTTTGTGGTTTTGAAGTTGGCTTTTACTTTTTATTAAAAGTTTAATTCTTGGTTGGATGAGTACATTATCCAATGTTCGTTTAAAAAATTCTAACTATCGATCTCATCGTATCAAGAGATTAAAGTTCAGTTAAAATTATTAAGTTCACTGCAAGACACGGGCCTTTCAGAATGCCCCAGCTTGCATGCCTCGCTTGGAAATTACACCACGCAGGCGAATTGGTAAATGCAGAGTCGATACCCTAACATTAATACTGCACGCGCTCTATTGGCAGATTTTAAATTGAGTTTAACGTTCTGGGATGAATATCTTATTTCTTAAAAGTACGGCTAATATGCAAAAACCTTGAATGATTGCGATTATGGGTCCCTTAAAAACGTAACGCACTATTATTTTGATTCACTTCACTTACATATGTACTTAAATAATTAATTATTTTTTAGGACCTCACTGAAATTATTCAAAAGAACATAACAAAACAAAATGCAGATGCGTTGTCACCCGTGAGGACTAAGATGGAATGCCTCGTTTCCAGTAAAAAGGGTCTCCAGTTCTCTATACGAAACACAGCAGCATTAAGCTGCTATTTTACGCTGGTATTCTGTGTGAGCGTGGTACTTCCCCGGTCGAGCCGACCCATTCGTGTTACAACTATTCCAGAATATTTCTGCTGTAGCATGGCTCTACCACTTATAAAACTGAACTGTATGCTTATAAGCTATTCTTTGATTAGGTTTACTAAAAAGAAAACTATTCTTATAACTACAGAGACTACGGAGTCTATTGTTAAACGTCGAAACGAAATAATGACATTAATTATTTTCTGCACTTATTATCCAAATGTGAGAATAATATTTGTACATTCATTCAAAAGTCTGCTAATGAACATAGGCCGGCCTCACAGATAACGACATAGGGGGGGTATTTCGTCACAGTCTCCACGCATGGCAGACGGGTTCGCAACCGTAGCTGTTTTATTATTTTGAGTTGTTTTCAGAAAGATGTTGCCGCCTTTTTCCTGTGACTCTTGCTTCATTTTCCCCCGTCGCCTCTTACGACACTCACGGGATGATATAGTATACATACTTATGAGATAATTTTTACAACGATTTTTGCAAACTTCGACAAGTGTCGTTGAATCAAACATATAATATTACATACCTTAGCACTATGTCTCAAAGATATAACTGGTATTGCTTTTAGTATATTAAGAGCAAATATGGAGAATACTATCAAATAACAAGAAAGTTACAAAATTACATACTACATAATCCAAATTGCTTACACAAAGGAAGTAAACTGTGTCATTAAGATGCGGATGATACAAATCATGCGCATGATTAATTTTATGCAAGTTAATCAGAGAATAACGCATTTCTATATTATATGGCAATAAACAAGGAAACACATTGTGCACACAATAATTTATGTACGATGAAACAAAGTACAAATGCGATGATGAGTAAATGCTGTACAAAGATGGTGATGAGTAATTACCTTAGGAATGAATAACCCGAGCTTCCGGCCGTACGCTCTCAACCGCGGGTTATGTACGAGCAACCCGTTGGCCTCGAACGTCCTCTCGCCGCTATCCGCTGTTACGCGCTTCTCGTCGGCCTCTGCTAGCCTGCTAACCTCCTCTTGACCGTTTCTACTTTGACTATCTAGAGAAACCAAAAAGAAAACTAACGAAACACATAACACAACAAGCAAGAGTAAATTAAAAAATATGAAAAATAAACAAAATAAGCGGAATATTAAACCAACAGCGTAGCAAAATAAACAGCTGAAAATAAATCGAACACTAAAATGGCATCCCTCGCAGAATTAAATCAAATAATGTAATTATATGATCGTGGGAAATGTCGGGTAAAATTATAAGATAAATTGGCAATATTTACAGCTATTATGTCTAAATTATAGACTTTGACATATCTAATTGTATGCTTTTGATGACGCGTCGAACTGAATAATGGACGTGATTGTTCTTTGAACGTAGATGAATGAGTCGGTTGAAGGATGGAATTTCATGGTGGTTTGAGATTAGAAAAAAAAATACTGCGCAACATAAAGGTGAGGTGCCTAGCCTTGTGGTGTAGTTTATTATATTCGTTAAAATATCATCTAATCCTCGACTTTTAATTTTTTGATGAAGTTATGAGAAGACAGAAAGAAAACGAAATGCATTTTATCAGTGTCGTTATTTTATCTATAGATAAGTTAGGAGATTACCTTACGGTTACGGTTTCGCTGTTGGTCACGGGCCTACATTTGGGAGTTTTTTTTAGAAATGGATTACATCCGATACGCTGACTTAATAGATGTTCACGGACTTGACATGTCGTGATACATTTACACTTATAATTGCGAGAAAATAATTCGTAAAAGAAAAAGGAAGAAACTGCTCGCGTGCTATGGATAATAATTAAGTATCGACAAAATCTTATGGTCACAGTTCAAGAAGGAAAGGCCAACGCTGGTGGTGAGGGGGGGGGGGGGGGGGAGTTCGGGTTTAATCTAAACATAAAACGATGATGTTGGATATGTGCAGGTGATGTATGTCGAACGGTGCGACGTGGCGAACGCACCGGGGCGTGCGGGGCGTGCGGTGCGGGCGAGGCGCGCGCGCAGCGAGCGGAAGGCGCGCCGCACGAGCGCCAGCACGCCGCCGCCCGCACGCACCGCTCCTACGCAATCATTTTGTACGTGCTACGCTACGAGTACGAGCCCGACGTCCAGTTTAGAGTTCATGGAAATAAGCGGTAGTACAATACTGTAAAGCACGTAGCGCACGAGCTGATCGCTCAGTTTAGATTTCATAAAGATATGCGTAGTGCCACGCTGTACAGTACGAAGCGCGGGAGCCGGTTACTCAGTTAAGGTTTTATGGAAATACGTAGTAGAGCCACGCTGTTCAGTACGAAGCTCGGAGGCCAGACGCTCAGTTCAGGTTTCGTGTAAATACACGGTAGAGCAACGCTTGTACATACAGTAAGAAGCGAGGGAACCGGACGCTCTGAACGCAGAATCCTGCTGCAGCTATGACTGTAAAACGAATGGGTCAGCTCGGTCGTTTAAGCACTACGCTCGCAGAAAATAGCATCGTAAAATAGCACCATAATACATCTGTGTTTCGTATAGTGGCTGATTACAACCAGTGACCCTTTTCACGTGACGAGACATAACGACATCTTATTCCTCAAGGAATTCCATTTTAATTCTTAATAGAAAATAAATGTAGGTGTATATGAGTCACAGCATCCACTTACCATCAAGTAGACTTTATGCTTGTTTATTAATCTTACTCCTGTAAAAGAAAATACGAAGCTTTATGCCGTCGCGCATTATATCGAATTACTACTATGTACCTACTAGTATACCCTCAGTACCAAATTACGGTTCAATAACAATGCGAGCGATCCTTTCTATTAGTCGCTTCACACACTTTCATTTAAATTTTAAATATTTCCTTAACGTAACTTAATTCAAATCCAGCATTATTTTTATTTCTCAAAATCTACGGAAAGCTAGAACGTGTTTCTAACGAGTAAGTACACTAATACACACTATTGATAATTTATGAATGGTATAAAAATTTTAACACAAATTATAGTTTAGGAATTTAAAACATTGTTTTTAATCTTGACAGGTGTTCAAGGCAAAATAGTGATTTAAATGGAAATGTACTGGTATTGGTTTTCCAATAAACATGTTTACTAAAAACGTTATGTTCTACAGTTCGTTGGTCGTGTTGGTTTTGTGAATGGGACATTAAAACGATACAAACCGGCGTCTGCTGCGAGTTCGGCGACGGCGGCACAGAAAGTTTCGAAGTCGACGTGGTCGTCCGGCGGCAAGACGCGCTCGGCGAGGTGCGGCGGCGCGCGGGTCGCCTCGCGCAGAGCGTCCAGCGCACGCGCGCGCGGCAGCGTGGCGCTGCGCCCGCCCGCCGCGTCGAACGCGCGCTTCAGCCGCAGGATGGTGTGGCCGAGCGAGTGCCGCGGCTGCGTGCGCGCTCCGCGCAGCACGGCGCGGGCGCAGCGCAACGCGGCCGGGATGTCGGAGAACGCGGGCAGCCCTCGCCGCTCTACCGCCTCTTGGAGAGTCGCTCGCGCGCGAGACAGCTCCACGTACTCCCTGCAGTAACACCACTGCAATGTAACTCATGAACGAGGTGTAAGTTATAAAACCTAAAGGATTAAAACACTTTGTTATTACAGTTAACTGCTTTTTTTTTCAATATATATCATTCAAAGAAAATATTTCTATGAATAGTGTATTTTATTATCATACTTTAACATCGCGTTTATACACGTCAAATTTTGATTTTTTTACTCGACAGCCCGCAACTGGCTTTTTATAAGAAAATAAAAATTAAAGAACTTCAACAACGTTATACGTTACAATTCAACATAAGACTCATAAAATTTTACGTATCTACTAAATTAAAGTAAAGTAAATATTAAAATTAATGTAAATATGCAACTTCAATCTTGGCCGACCGTTTTAATCTTATCGCCCTAAATCTGTGGTGAGATTGTGATTATACGTTAGCCTATTCTCAGCAGACAAAAAATGCCACGTCATGTAACGTTGAGTACGCTGTCACTAAGTCATCGTGCACAATTTAGTATTGGTTACACATTTATTCTACCCTATTAGGTGTTAAGGAGGAACAATGAAACGTCATCGCTGCTCTAAATCCAACGACACGAAAGTCGCGTGACGCATACATAAGTGCCCCCACCGCGTTCCTAATTCGCTTCCCTGTAGGTGATACCGTGGTATTAATAGGGCGGTGGCAACGACAACGACCAGCCTTGTAGAAGTTTACGACTGTGCGGCAATTTGCCCGCGTAAAGAGGAAGTGACGCAGTTGCGGTGATGCAGCAAAACGCAGTTGTGCCGTTTATTAGAAATAAAAAAAAAACAATAATCTTACGAACTTTTACTCGTGTTTACAACACTTTTAAGTTAAATAAAACAATGGGTTAAGGGAGCAAAATCATTTATGTAGTTACGAGACTAGTATAAATTCGTATATTATTATATATCTTTAAATTATATTTTTGTACGTTCTTTTGTCTTCGGAGAATGCACTTAGAGAAACACTCCGATTTAGGTTATACGAAACAATTGCTTTAAATTTTACTAAATTTAATTTTTACTAAGTTTTCATGATATTTAACAGTACATTATGGTCACAATTAACAAGATAAAGATGCATCGATTTCGAAACTTCTAAAAATTAAAACGCTACATCCTTTATCTTCTATATCTTTAATGGCCCATAGAGATCCACTGTTGAACATTGGGCCTCTCCTATAGTAGGGAAGCCGCGAGCCGAAGGACGTAAGGCGTAGAGCCGAGGTAGCTCAGGAGCTAAGCGGTCGCCGTAAATTTCACAGTACGCGAGCAACCGATGGGAATGGAATCCGGGATCGATAGCCGTCGGTACCAGTGAAATCGTTAATTACAATTTCAAGTGCTGGTTTACCACGTGATATCGGTATCTCAAAAAGAGCACATCAATACCATGACAATACCTGCATGTCACAGACACGCCTTTCCTTGCACTAAAGCAACGTTTGATAGGCGGATTGGCGTTGACAGAATTAGTAGTTTCGTACCTTTGACGCTGTTCTCAGTCGCTGGTCTGAGTATCTGGTATGATAGTAAATATTATATTGCATCATCAGAGAACATAAGACTTTTCTGGTTTTTCCCACTAGACATAGACGTACCTGGGACGATATGGGGTACTGAATTTTCTTACGCCGTATTAATACTTGACTGGTGCTGCGAGTTCTGTGTACAAACCTACAATTTGTGTCGTAGCAAAAACTATTAATTTTCTAAAATGGGTGTGAAATATCTTTGATTCTACATTTCCCTAAAGAGAAACTGAACATTCTAAAGTGGATTCGAAGGATAGGGAAGCATATTTGTGAGTACAAGATAATTAGAGCTTACGAAGACGACGGATAGCCTGTGTCTTACCATTATTCACCGTGAAAACGGAGCAAATCGAACCATAACGCACTCGGCGCACACACAACGGACTCCGCCGAACTGGACAGATACTGTCATAGCGGACATTACTAGTACCGGCGCGTACCTACTTATTCCGTGTTTCGCGAAGTTTCCACCGAGGCGGCGTGTGTGTACTCACTGGTCGGTGATGGTCTCGCCGCCGATGGTCTGGTGGCGCGCGTAGGGGCGCAGCACGAGCAGCAAGTCGCGCGGCGCGGCGGCGAGGTGCGCGGCCTCCACGCTGGCGGCCACGGCGCGCGTCTCGCTGTCCAGCACGAACAGCAGCGCGCGCGCCGCGCACTTGGCGCGGTGCTCCACCTCCATCAGCTCCGTCGACCAGTCGTCCACTTGCTGCCGTCCAACATCACATACACTTACACATTATATTCGGTCACACATAACCTTGCGTCTAATGGCTTATTTTTCAATCGTCAGATAAAAGTTATTCATAGGATAAAATACCACAATAAATAATTACAGTTCTATAAATAGATTGATGACCGGAGAATGACCACGCTCTTTCAGAATACCAGCGTGAAATAGCAGCTTAATACTGCTGTGTTTCGTATGGTGAGTATAGAGAAACGACCCTTTATACTGGAAAATGCCTCGCATTCCATCTTAGTTCGTCGGGTGACAACGCATCTGCATTTTGATTCTTTATCGAAGATAGATGTAAGTGTTACAGGGCCACAGCATCCACTTAGCATCCAGGTGGACTGTGTGTTGATTTATTTTGTCAGTCTTGTTCTAAAAAATAGTCCAATATTATGTACTTTAATATTTAGACAGGTAATATTATTTTATTTCTTTGATAGATCACTTTTATTCGAGGATTGAAAAATCAGCGCTCAGGATAATTTACGAGTGAATGACTTTTTTGACATATCATAAAATAAATATAAATAAATACCAAAGGCATAATACGTATAATGTGATAGCATGAAGTACCACAATATTCACCCTTAAATAAAAATACCATCATGCGTTCACGATATAATTTAGAACTGATAATTTGCTTTGTATTGTAGTGCGCACTATCTTGCGTAGTGTGTGTAGAGCGATAAAAATCCAAAAAATAAAAATATATCTTAATTCATCATCATCATCATCATTAAAGCCTTTCACAAGTCCACTGCTGAACATAGGCCTCCCCCAAGGAATGCCACAAAGCACGGTCCTGAGCCACCTGCATCCATCGACTTCCTGCACGTCTTACCAGGTCGTTACTCCATCTCGTGGGGGGGTCGCCCTACACTTCGCCTACCGGTACGAGGCTGCCACTCAAGAACCTTTCTTGGCCGGCCCACTGCCACTTCAGCTTACTAATCCGTTGGGCTATGTCGGTTACTCTGGTTCTACTGCGGATATCGTCATTCCTAAGTTTATCACGCAGAGAAACTCCGAGCATAGCCCTCTCCTTAGCTCGCTGAACGACCTTGAGCTTCCTCATACGGCCAGCAGTGAAGGACCAAGTCTCAGATCCGTAAGACATCACTGGCAACACGCGCTAGTTGTACAATTCCGTTTTGAGGTATGTCTGACGAGAAGATATGTTGTAGCTTCCCGAACGCTGCCCAGCCGAGTTGAATCCGTCGATTGACCTCTCAGTCGAAGTTGAACTTAGTCGGACTATTTGTCCCAGATAAACATACTCATCAACAACTTCGAGCTTAGTGCTCCCAACAACTACCGGCATAGGTGTGACATGGACATTTAACATAATAATGATTTCTTATATTTACGCGAACACTACACATTGAATAAAATTACTTTTACGGATTTTATCGCGTTTAATTAAGTTATTTTATATTCCCGACGTTTCGGTTGCTTTCCAGCAACCGTGGTCACGGGGGACTGAGGTGGTTGAACAATCAAACGCTAAAACTTAATTAAACGCGATAAAATCCGTAAAAGTAGTTTTATTAAACATAATCTTTGTTTTGTCCATGTTCATCTTAAGACCTATCCGTTGGGAGACACTATTGAGGTCATTGAGTATAGTGCTGAGGTCCTCCAGCGATTCTGCCATAAGGACTATATCGTCGGCAAATCGAAGGTGAGTGATGTACTCGCCATTGATGTTAATACCGTATCCTTTCCAGTCCAGAAGCTTGAAAACGTCTTTCAATGCAGCGGTGAAGACTTTCGGGGATATAACGTCACCCTGTCTTACACCTCTCTGCAATTGGATAGGTTTCGTACTCTGGTTCTGTACTCGGATAGTCATCGTAGCTCTACTGTACAAGCACTTCAGCACTTCGATATACCGACAGTCAACTTGGCATCGCTGAAGGGACTGCAGCACCGCCCAAATTTCGACGGAATCAAAGGCTTTCTCATAGTCCACATACGCCAGGCATAGTGGCAAATTGTACTCTTCGGACTTCTGTACAACTTGCCGAAGGCTATGTATGTGGTCTATGGTGCTAAAGCCCTTTCGGAAACCGGCTTGTTCGGGAGGCTGGAAGTCGTCAAGTCTGCGTGCGAGAAGATTCGCAATGACTCTCGAAAACAGCACGTAGACGCGGCTCAGAAGGGAAATCGGTCTGTAGTTCTTCAAGAGAGCATTGTCACCTTTCTTGAAGAACAAGACCACCGCACTTCTGTTCCACGCCTCCGGTGTGATGCCACGATGGAGGACGGAATTAAAGAGCCTCTGAAGGACTTCCAGTACCGGTTTTCCACCCGCTTTCAGAAGCTCCGCTGTAATTCCATCCTCGCCTGGGGCCTTGCCGCTTTTAAGATGCTGGCCATTCTAATCTCGCTCAGACTGACGGCCGGGATATCTTCAGAATAGTGTCGGATAAGACTCGCTCTAGGATCGTTACTCACACTTGCGTGTGGCTCCAACGATGACGTGTACAGCTGTCCATAGAACCTCTCAATCTCACTCAAAATATCAGGTGCCCCGGAAACGATGCTGCCACACTCAGTCTTCAGCTTTGACAGTTGGCTCTTTCTGGCAGACAGATCTTTGGCAAAGACTTTGGAGCCTTGATTCCGTTCGATCGCTTCTTCAATACAAGCTGTATTGAAGTTGCGTAAGTCCCGCCGCATGCATTTGGAGATCTGTCTGTTCAGTTGCCTGTATGCTGTAAAATCTGTTGAAGAATGTAGCTTCATCTCCCGTCTAACAGCCATGAGGTGTGATCGGAGAGCCGAGATTAAGAGTGTGATCGGAGAGTTTTTGTGTTCTTCTGCGGCGGGTCTTGCAGAACTTAGCTCCGACCGCATGGACAGTTTCCACGAGCTTGTCATTCATATCGTCCACTTCATTGCATTCTTCTAGGCACTGAAAACGGTTTGTAACTCGAGCTGAAAGGTTTCGGGACTTTGGAACAGAGCACGAGGGGGACGGAGCGTTGACTTCATTAGACGAGACCTCTCCAACTTAACGTTTAGGTTCAGTGTACCTCTAACCATTCGGTGATCGCTACCAGTTTTCACCCTCGCGATCACCGAGATATCACTGAACAGTTGTCGTCTGGTCGTCATAATGAATTCAATCTCATTTTTTGTCGAACCGTCGGGGCTCGACCAGGTCCACTTCCTGTGGGGCCGCTTCTAGAAGAAAGAGTTCATCATAAAGAGTCCCTCTTTCTCCATGAAGTCGGCCAGCTGTTGGCCCCTTGGGTTCCGTTGCCCTATTCCAAATTTCCCTACTTTCAGCTCACCGTTCTCTCTTGTGCCTAGTTTTGCATTGAAGTCTCCCATTAACACCGTATATTGGGTTTTGGAGGAATGCATGGCTCTAGAGATATCCTCATACATTTCCTCCACCTCCTCATCGGGGTGTGCCGAGGTTGGTGCGTAAACCTGTATGACCTTCAGCGAATACCGTTTGGTGATTCTGAGTATAAGGTACGCAACCCCCGTCGACACACTCCCAATCTTTACAACGTTGTTAACGAGAGACTTGTGGACGATAAATCCGACACCTCCTTGGGACAGATGATAGAGCAAGTTGCCGGATTCGAGGATTACCGTGTCCTCCCCCTCTCTTCGGACTTCGGATAATTCTATAATATGCCAGCGTAACTTGTCTATCTCTTCTTCCAGCTCCATGATCTTCTCCTCAGTCCTCAGGGTGCGTGCGTTGTACGTTGCCAGGTCGAGTCGTCTAAGGTGGCAACCAAACCTCCACCCACGAGATTCTTAGTACCCCCTACCACCGTAGCCAGGAATAGCGGGGCCGTCGGGGACTGCGGGCCGTCTGTTTGTTGCTCTTATCATTGGGGGGTATTTGCCATAGCTGCCACGCTTGGCGAGCAGGTTGGCAACCGCAGTTTTTTTATTGTATTTATTGTAATTTTGACTATTATCAGGAAGATGCTGCTGCCTATCTCCTGCCTGTTTCCCTTTGTCGCCTTTTACGACACCCACGGGAAGATATGGCAAATAAATAAAATAAAATTCAAAACAGCGGCTTATCAGATGTTGTCCTAACTTTATAATAGCAGATTGGTTTGTTATTAGACATAAGGTAGTTCAAATTTAAATGATATTTAGGTAAATAAAACCAATTCAACACTTGATATCAAATCAGAGCTTTCATTAATATAAATAAATAACGTTAGTATATCAACTTATATTGTTACCGAAAACTTTTATTCTCTACATAATAACGACAAAAATAAATTTATATCGATAATCAAAGAGTAACAAAACCTGTTAGCTGAAAGTCACTGAAAAAGTATACGAACTTTACGATACCACGAAATATGATTACGCTTCAAAGTAACGTTCCACAACTGTTGTGGACCGATAAGCGATTTCGAAAGTTAGCGATACTTGACGATAATACCGTTGGTGTCGTCATCAACCGAACGTCTAAAATCACTCGAAGTATGTTTCTAATGCTAGAGCCTCTCTCCCGTAGGCCGCAGGCTGAAATTCTCGTGTGAGAAAACTTCGCCTTCAGCCTACTAGAGATATTAATAATTTTCATAGTGAATTAAGACTCATTTCAGAAATAAGGTATATAATCAAAGACTATATAAATCGCTACGTTATCACTATTTTTTAAATTTAGTGCTAAGTAATAATATATTTTTCCAAGTTAAAAATATTTTCTGCTCTCTATACATTCATGCAACTTTGCTTCATATTAAAACGTATTGTACATTATAAATTCCAAAGTCGTTGACCGGCACACTTCTTAATCGTTTAATTGGAGATTATTTAAAATGAGTGTATAAAATAAGAAAGTGTTAAGAATGAGGGTTAAAAATTAAAAATAAATACAACGAAGTAGTGTAGTATGTAAGTGTAGTATAAGTTACGGCACAGGCTACTTTAACTTGAAGTAGTTATTCTGCGAATCTTAATCGGTGTTATTACTCTGTCCGTTTTGAAATCATTCTAGTCTAATACAAGCAAAGGTTGTGTTGCAGAGAAGCTGACACCGTTATGGCTGGTGCTGCTTGTTAGTTTGCATATTTCATCTGTTGTGGTGTTATTTTGTATCTACTTTTAACTGGTTAAAAACTGGTAGTTAGCGAGAAATCATATTGAAATATTTATAAGAGTAATTTCTAACAAGATGTTATACTAAAATTTCTGCAGTAAATAGATCATTAAATCGCAAACTATGTTAGGTTTTATTTCTAGTTAGAGATCAACTAATCTATGAACTTAATATTTGATCATAGATCCCTACCTGAAAATATTTGAAAATAATAACACGTAGGTTTAAATATTTTTATTCATTTTGTGTATGCACGTTTCAGTCATGAGGTCATGACTATCTTGACTGATAGACACAAAAGAAGTAGTATCATGCAAGCCCTTGAAGTTAAGATGACATCAGCGCTTTACTAACGTTAACTCATTTATTGAATTACGAAACCACAGTAAACACGATTGAGAGATAAAAATCTTGTATCTCGAATTGATCGGGGGACGTGACCAATCGCTTCTCAAAGTTAGCCACAATAAATCACGTTCGGTAAAAAGAAAATGTAAAGTGCATTCCACTACAGACCACTGTTGTATATTCACACTGTATCAGGTTAAGAATTTCAATGTTATAATGAGTCGCATCTTATGAATGCTATAATCAAATATCATTTACATATATTCCGCCTTATTAAGTGGCGAAGCTTGCGAAGTCACTTATTGATTTCACGATGTCTGTCCGTCTGTCCCACGATTATCTCGAGAACGGTTTCGAATTTTCAAATTCTGTTTTCAGCAATCGATTACTGATCACCCAGGCATCTGAACCTCCTATTTTGAAACTGATTGCTCAATGGCAACCGTTAGAAACCGCTACAAAGCTGATTGCTTCGCCACTTTGCTATGCTGTTAGCTTGCTAGGTTTATTATTCTTAAATAACCAGCCAGTCAAAAGTCCACTGCTCAACATAATCCTCCTCTTAGATTGCCTCATATAGGATTGGACCTAGTTACCATTTGTTGTTGTTTGTTGGGTTGTAATCCTAACCTTAGGAGTGATAATGATCTTACTGTTATTTATTTTTTTAGGAAAATCGAATAAAGAGGCAAAGGTAGTATCTGGAATATGAGCCTCGCTGTTGCTCAAAATTGAGTTGCTAGGTTTACGTTACTCATACGAAATAGAGCGATCTTACGAAGCCCAGGCGGCAGTTTCGGGATTACTGAAACTGCCGCCCGAGTATGACACGAATGTATGTAAGCACATACATTCACGTAAGTATGATACGAAAATGAAAAGTGGCGAGGGTGGCGGAAGACGTCGGTTCAGCTGCTCTGGGCGGCAGAAACCTATGTTACGCCTACGTCACTGTTACATTTTTGCATATTGTGTGTATTGAATATATTTATTATACAAACTACTCTCTAGTACATTAGTGTTATCACCAACATAACAAATAAGGTGCAAACAAATATCAAGTGATAGGCAGGTGACACCACAGATCTTATCAACCAGTTTCCTTTGATGTATTGATTGATAAATGGATGTTAAACGCAGTAACAATATGAAAAGGTTAATAAAATACTATATGCACGTTATATTAGGTAAAGTACGTTTGCTAAGTTACAGCTATTTATTTTATTTGTGTACAAGGAGTTTATTGCCGCACATTTAAAATGTATAGCAAATTCGGAAATTTTAATTTTTAATGTTGTTAAATGAAACTCGTTTTCGCCGTTCATATCCGTGATATAAATACATGACTCATATATTTAATTATTCATTTTGAGTAGCATATATTAGCACTACGTATGATCTCACAACATATTTTTAAACTATCAAAGAAACAATATACTACCTTTGAGATAATAAAATGAATAACTCACCGGATTGAAGTACGTAATGCCCATCTTTTTCAGCATAGGGATAGCTATGTCAGACCTCCAAGTGGTGGGATTGCAGGAGCCGCCCAGAAACACTTCGCATGGTGGTGGCGATGCCTCGCTGCCTGCGCCAAATTACATAATACATTCTCTAAACTGGGTTTCGACTTAATAAAATTTTAAAATAAGCATTTCATCTCTTTATCACCTTCGGCCATATCACCATTTACATGGGATAGTAGTTAAGCATTGGCTTATAGCTGATAAAAAAAACCTAGTATTTATCTACGACTAGCAGTAGGTTGCAGTCCGTCGTACCTCTGAATCTTTAGAAATTTTGTTGTTTGTATATCTATTCGTACTAACCCATATATGGCGTGGTAGAGCCATGCTGCATATATATTATAATTGTAGTACGAATGGGTCGGGTCGACCGGGGAAGGAACACGCTCTTACAGAATACAAGCGTGAAAAACAGCTTAATGTTGCTGTGTTTCGTATGTTGAGTGTAGAGAAGAATACCCCTTTTTACTGGAAACGAGACATTTAATCTTAGTCCTCAGGGGTAACAACGCATCTGCATTTTGAATCTTAATTGTGGATAGATGTCACAGCATCCACTTACCATCAGATGCACTGTGTGCTCGTTGGTTCCCCTATTACTATAAATAAATATATAGTCGCGGGTATCGTAAATGAAGACAAACCAGGAGAAACAAACCAGAAGATTTGCAGCTGAGTGCCTTATTATATAAATTACTTTACTTTTGTCATAGCTCCCACGCTTGGCAGACGGGTTGGCAACTACAGTTATTTTATTTTTTATTTGCTATATTAGGAAAACGCTGCTGCCAATGCTAAGTTCAACAGTGGATTTTGATAGGATGAATAAATGAATGAAAAATTGAGATATAAAAAAAGTCACAATAACGACCTCCTAGTCGTTTTCAACCACGGGGATCGTCACCAAATACTAACATAAATTATCAACTACGCAGGATATTAGAATAATTAAATGTATTAATCGGTACTAATTAAAAATAAATTGTATTATTGACTCTATATTATAATTTATTACCGATTTTATTACTTAATTTACTATGTACAGTAGTCATATAAAATGTTAGTCATGTTCTCTAATCATTCCGAATTGATAAGTAAATGGTAATCTATGGCAGTTGTATATAGTATTGTGAGTAGTTACCCATGCACATCCTCTGTTTTATTTCCCTCTGCCGCCTCTTATGATAGGAGGAGGAGATAAACGTACGGAAGGAAAGTAACCAAGTGTGAACGTGAGATCAAATTTGTCTTCAATCTATTAGTAACCAACTCTCATTTACTTTATGTATGTTGCCCATTCTATAAAATTGATTAACGACGTATGACTTGAAAATTAAGCAAAATAAAAGAAGCATTATTAATTACATCTATATGGTATGACAGCTATAAAACCTACAGTTTCTCTTTTATATTCCAAAAGTGACATCATTAACAACGGAACACATTGGAAAGGTCAGCGACTCTTCCAGTGACATCATCTGTGAAAATTCACGACAAATTGTTCCATTTTAATTTAGAATACATCCATCACTAATACACCTCCACCTATTGCAATTCAATGCAGAGTTGTAACTCTCAATTTATTGGCGCAAAGTTAAAACTGGATTTCTAACGTGTCAAAACATATCATTACTGAAATTTATATGTTTGATATAATTTATGTAGGAGTGATTACGATACAGCTCGAAATGTAGACTGTATCTGTATGTATGTAATCACGTGCTGAACCCACGCTTAGCCACAACGTACCTGTATCGATAGATAAAACCATTTAAGGTTAACGTAAGAACTTTTGGAACAATCATAAACCTCGGCGCAGCAGTGTTCACGAGTAGTTAGGCCTATTTCTCAGATAGAGTTGAGACACTCAAAAGAAGTACAGTTAATTATTAACAATTGTACTGCGGTCGCACACGCAATAGCGCGTGAGCGCTAACCACAGTCGGGCGACACAAAACTACTAGAGCTTGTTAACAACATACGGAGATTATATCTGCGTTTGAATTGACTTTGTAAATACACCAAAAAACATTTTGTTTTTACTGTTTAAGTAAGCAAATTTATCTGCCAAATCAAATCTCTTTATTAATTCTCTCTATTAATAATATAAAACGTGATACGATGCACCTTGGATTGGAAAGTGTTGCGGAAAGGTGACCAGTTGATGGAGCTTGCCCGTGTGTAATGATTGATGAATTTCGAGTGCGTGGGCCGTGCTGCCGTGCTCAATACGTCGGCGAATACTTGTACTACATAATAATATGACCACTAACTCGCTCGTTAATAATATTCGAACACAACTGTAACATCTCAAGTGGTATGCCTTCAACAAATATCTACTACAATATGAAAAAATTACTGCAGATAAAAATAAATAAATAATGTCGTGAAGAAAAATCAAACCATTTGTGGAATTCGTACTCACAACAAAAACTAATTAATATTGTATCGAATCCTTATATTTGAACGAAACAGATGTTAATGTTGACATCTCTGTACGCAGTCCGTGAGCAACAGTAGTCCAATTTGAGATCACCATCCAATGCCACAGCGAGAACGTAAACACTGAACGCGTGTTCAATAACCACATCGAAAATCCTTCCTACGCGCGAAATGAATACTTCTCTTTAGTTATAACGTATATAAAATTTCAAACCATGTGTTTAATTAGAAATTTAAGGATGTTAAAAGTATTGTTTACAATATGAGAGACGCACAGGCACAGGGTACGATCATCGCAGTCGGAGGCATGGCGAAGTCGCACAGCACTAACGCCAGTGCGCGCTGTCCACTGACGGCGGTCGACGGCCAACTGGCGACGGCGCCTGGCTCTACAACTCTACATGCCGACTGTGGTGGGTATAGCCAATTCCGCATTTTAAAATACTATTCCGTTATTTCTTTACACTACAAAGCTAAGATAAAATGATGCTGATGATAATCCCATTCTGTCTATATTGACAATTATCTCTTTGATCCGTTAGATCATCGCATCTGTCATGCTCGCGTTGATGACTATAGGCATCAATTGTACTTTACCCTCAATGTAAATCTTTGAATTCCATGAAAACTGAATCATTTATTTTAAACATTACTAAAGAGAACATATTACAAAAAAAGCTACTGCTACTATATTATTTTTTAATTATCACTTAGCTCTCACTAATAGTTATTATTTATGTAGAGTCTAATTTATTAATAAGTAAAACGTATGATAGCTAATTGTATATCCGAGAGAAATCGATAAAATGAAACTCTCAAATACGTCCTTGTAACCTTAATAGTATTAATATAAAAACTATGTATGTACTTACGAGTTTAATGAAATGCAATTAGAAACCGATTTTTCATCAAACATTGGTAAAAATCGAATTTATATATCTTTCGTTTAAAATAATTTAAAAAAATTAAATGGATTTTACTACGAAATAGTATTCGTACAAAAAAACCTACAAACACTAAAGTAACTTAATACCTATTATAAGTGATGATGTTATTATCAATTTTTATTCACAAAGGTACGTTAAATCTGTAAGTTATAAATATTAAGTAGCTTTATAGCTTAACACACTCATAAAGGCATGAATAAAGAGATGTCTAGTTAAAACCAGTTTTGTTTAGTATTTTAAAATAGTTGTGAATCTGTGAAATGTGATTACAAGATGTGATCGTCTGAATACCTTCCGGGTGATAAGGAAGCTAAATGTTTGTGTGGCATATAGAATGAACATTATGGATGCGACATCTAAATCAAAAATAAACTAAGGAAACGGACGATCACAAAATTTTAATTATATTTTATTGAGATCATGACAAAAAAGTATTTTGTGACAAATAACGATTATTTGTATTGTATACACATCGTTTCGAGTTGATATATACTTATATTAAAAAGTTAAAGGTAAAGCCTATATACGTCCAACTGTTGGCCACAGGCCTTTTATCATTTCTGAGAGTATTATCGAGCGATTAGCCCGCCTGCTCCAGTGCATGTTGGCGGACTTCACATGTCATCGAAATTCCTCAGACATGCAGGTTTCCACACCATGTTTTCCTTCGCCACCGTGCACGTGGTAAATCAGCACTTAAAATAACAAGTAACAATTTTATTAGTGCTGGCAGGAATCGAACTCAGGTTGTTCACGTACTGGGAAATTTAGGGCGTGCGCTAAGCCCCTGAGCTGCCATAGCTCACATGATATTACGTTATCTTCTATAAATTAATAAATAAAAGTAAATAGTTTTTTTGTTTTGGTCAACGTTGCAGAAATCGAACGTCGAGCGGGCTCATCGGCGCACTTCCGCAATCCGTTTATAGTTCGTACGGAAGAGCCGGGAAGGTCGCGCCCGCCGTGTTTATTTAGTAATGTTTGTTTATTTAAAGCCTTATACGAGTCTGCGGAATTATAGGACTTTTTATTTGTTTACTTTTAGATTTTCAACTCACTTTTATTTGAATATCACACTCTGTGGAAAATTTGCGTATCGTGATTTGATCGTTAAAACACTTCGTCATTTTACAGTCAGGAAGTATTTCCTGCACGAAGTAAGTATTCCGCTTCACGTTTATTGTCGAAGAGAGAATGACGAAATTCAAGAACACCGTAGTTTCAAAATGGATGATTTACAATAGTAAAAGGTATTATTATATTGCGGACAAGGTTACAAAATACATCGCGCAACACAACACTGAACTCTTTTACGCAGTCGAGAATAAAAATATACATTTAATAATAAAACAAACATGATACGTAGATGCGTATATCACTGTGTCATAATAGAAAAAGAAGAAAGATGAAGAAATCTAATCTAGGTTTATATTATGTGATTTTTATAGGCATTAAATGTCAAATCTAAAATCTAGCGACGCCTAAATAAAGCATAGAGAATCGACTATCGTAAGGACATGCATACTCCTCATTGTAGAATCAAGCAAGCTTATTTAATTCGTATTTATGCCATCAATTATATAATATTTCGTTCAACGTTAAATCGAATGCCGTATATAAAATACCGCAAATCAGATACAATGAATTACTAACAATCTTTGCCCATAGATTCT